ATAGAATTATTTGGTAAATATTAAGCAACCATTAAATAAATATCATCCATATATGATGTTAATAATATCAACCAATCAATGTAAAATGTCAGAAATACTAACTAAATATAAATATATCCGTATAAGATGTTAATAATACAACCAGGAGATCAATACAAAACTAATTTAATTCCAGAATTAAATTAACCCAAATTAATCATGCAAATAGAAAAATACGCAATATATTGTACAACACAGTTCAACTAAAATCTAAGAAAAAACATTGTCAAATTCCAAAGTTTAACTGAATTGTAAGGTATTAGGCAGACTGTTTACAATTTACAGTTAACTCGGATCTTTGATTTAATAAAGAATTCTTATCAAATAACCTTATAATTTCCAATTATTAATATAAACGTAGAAAACAGGGTTAATATAAGGATCTACATGTCCTTGTCATTTTAAAAATTTTCCATTTCACCTTTGGAGCTTTATTATCATTTTTTTAAACTCCAAAAATATTTAGAAAGTGAAGTATTATTTCTGTAAGTACTATTGGTTAAGGACAAAATAAGTTGATACCACCTAGCATTAAAATAATTCTTAGTACTGCCAATATAGAATTTTTGAACCATCGGATTATCTATTGTGAAGATAGTACTTAGGTAAACAGGAGACTTAGACAAACAATTTTGGCAATGCGCATTAGTTTGAATGCCTACAATTACATTGATTAGTTTAATTAATAATATTTATCTTGGAACGTGCATTATGATCAAGATTATTAAATTGGTTTAAAATTTTATTATTGTGTAACCTTATAATCTTCTCAAGATTATTGGTGCAGCTATAACTTCGTTTTAACGTGTGTCAGTTAAAAATATTTTACTAAGAGGATTACTTTTAGGGGAATGTTTATCAATTTTTTTGTAAGAATCGCTACAAAACTGCAGTCGTGTTTCAACACATAACGATATATATATATATATATATATATATATATATATATATATATATATATATATATATATATATATATATATTCACACCGAGCAAAGTGACAATGCCACTAAGATGCAAGAGGCTACTGGTAGTGAAAGAAGACGTCTCCTCTTGTTCAAAAAGACTAGGGAGGTGTGTGAATCGGGTGATAGGCGAACCTATTTACTCCTATTGTTTATATATATATATATATATATATATATATATATATATATATATATATAGAGAGAGAGAGAGAGAGAGATTTGATAGATAGATAGATAAATAGATATATCAGCCACAGTAATGCATCTAAACAAGTTTTATTTAATTCAACCGCCAAAGTCTGCAACAAATTATTAAAAATTGAAAAATATAAAACAATTTAAGTATATATATATATATATATATATATATATATATATATATATATATATATATATATATTAAAATTGGTGTATTTAGGCAGTGAATTATCTTTTATGCATGTTGGATTGGATGAATTATAGACATTATATCTGCTAATTTTAACAAAATCCGTTCATACTCATGAATAACCTTCCGTGTATTGATGTTAAAGGATCAGAGAAATGTGCTATAGTTGTATAAGTTTCTTTTAATTTAATTTTCCAAGTACTGAACAGACTTACCTATGAATACTGCAGTAATGTACTGAAATGACTGTAAAGGAACAGTATATTCAGGCCTTAATGCGCGCATGACCGTGTGACATCATAACGTGAAAATAATTCTTATGAACGTGTCAGCACATTGTCAAACGTTTTACATTTAAAAACATAATGAGAAAAATTATGGTAATGGATAACAACGCACAACTTTGTATAAATACTTGTATTAATGAACAACATATAGTTTTGTAGTACTTGCACCCCTGAAGATGATCTTGGAAGAAGATCGAAAGTACTTGGGAAATGAAAATAAACATCTTTCACTTTTAAAGGTGAAACTACTTGTCACGGTTTCATTTTTATTTTTTTATTTAACTTCCACGAAGTTCTACGAAGTACTGAGCACTTTTGATTGCAAACTTTATCATTGTTGGAATTTACCAACTATGGTTTCTGTATGTTTTCCCAAGACTTTGGAATTTTTTGTGATATATATATATATATATATATATATATATATATATATATATATATATATCTGTGTGTGTGTGTGTGTGTGTGTGTGTGTGTGTGTGTGTGTGTTGCGATCTCGTAAATTAAAATTCCTTTATTTAGAGATAGTTGTTTTTGTTGAGGATCTATCTATCTGAGCTTGTTTCTATCTATCTATCCATCTATCTATCACAATATGTTCATAATATCTATCTATCTATCTATCTATCTATCTATCTGTCCTCAGTATATTTCTTTCTTTCTTTCTTTCTTTCTTTCTTTCTTTCTTTCTTTCTTTCTATCTATCACTGTCTGTTCATTATCTTTCTATCTATCTATCTATCTATTTGTGCTTGTGTGTTATTGTAACTAAATATGAGGCTAAACGTAGATTAGTGAAACAAATAAAACACAAAAGTTGTTGATAAACGTTAGATCTGAAATTTTCACTCTATAATATATGACCCCAAATGACAAAGGTTTACAAATAAATATTTAATTTATAAAAATAAAAAATGTGAAACCGAAAACCTTGGAATAACGGGAGATGCTTTTTTAATTGCTAAACAAATTATTAAGCAACATGAAAATTTCTTTAGAAACAAAGAATGCTGAATTGTTATGCAATATCAGTCCTCCTTTATGGTAGTGAATGCGGGACAATCTCCTGACAGGTGAAGAATACATTTGCGACAACAGAAATATAGCTTTACAAATGTATACTGAGAATCTCATGGGCTGAACATGTGATTAACGAGGAAGATTTTAAAGAAAGTGAAAACAAAATATGTTTATTAGAAAAAAGGCAATTAGCATTTATAGGGAACATAACGAGGTAAAAAGGATTGGAGAATTTGATACCCACGGGGACATATTGAAGGCAAAAGGGACATGACGGATAACTTCCCTAACGGACTTGTGCAAATGGATAGCAGAATACAGTGTGGTAGAGATAGTGAAAGGACAGTATTTACTAAGAGCTGCAAAGGGTTTGGAGGGGGGGGTTATGATTGCCCATGGCCTGAAGTGACAAGGAAAGATTAAATGACGATGAAAAGAATAAAGTAAAGAAAGGAAAAAAAAAAATTTTAAATAATCGAAAGAATAAAAAAACAGAAGACATAAATAAAGAGAAAAAGATAATGAAGAAGAAGAAGAAGAAGAAGAAAATGAAAAAAGAAGAAAAAGAGGAAGAAGAGGAAGAAGAAGAAGAAAAGGAAGAAGAAAAAGAAGAAAAAAGAAAAAGAGGAAGAAGAGGAAAGGGAAGAAGAAAAAAGAAAAAGGAAGAAGAAGAAGAAGAAGAAGAAGAAGGGGAAGAAAAAAGAAGAAATAGAGAAAGAGGAAGAAGAGGAAGAAGAAAAGGAAGAAGAAGAAGAAGAAGAAAAGGAAGACGAAAAAAGAAGAAAAAAGAAAAAGATGAAGAAGAGGATAGGGAAGAAGAAAAATGAAAAAGATGAAGAAGAGGAAATAGAGGAGCAAGAAGAAGAAGAAGAAAAAGAAGAAGAAAAAAAGAAGAAGAAAGGGAAGAAGAAGAAAGAAGAAGAAAAAAGAAAAAGCGGAAGTAGAAGAGGAAGAAGAAAGAAAAGAAGAAGAAAAACGAAGAAAAGCTTTTCTTACCATCAGGCAGAGCATCTATTAAAACACTTACATATATATATCTACCTGTCTATGTATCAGTGCCAGTTCAACTTTCCGTCAATTTATGCATATTTAGTGAGCTTTATTTATGGAAAATCTTCTATATACAGACTGTAGTTTGAAGAGTTTGATATAGATAGATACGAACCCTTGGAGAGAGAGAGAGAGACATACAGATATTGATAGATTTGAACAAACTGATACAGACAGATACGCGCAGAATCGTACGATGAAGAGGGATTTTAGGAGAGAAAACGAAATATTATAATTAATGAAGTGACTTCCATTTTTTTTTTTTTTAATTTCAGTACATCTTTGAGGAAAATCTCCGCAAATTTATGAATATCATTAAGAGATCTTAATTAGGATTCTCTAAAATTTGATGAAGCAATTGCGTCATTTTATGATTAAGATTGGCAGTTATTGAGTAGGGCGCAAATATAAGTATGTGGATATAATTTGCAAATTATTTCAGCTTATACTTCCCAACCAATACATATGCAAGAAAATGACACTGACGTATTCTACATCGGGAAAGTTTCGCCAATCAATACACACACACACACACACACACACACACACACACACACACACACACACACACACACACACACACTCTCTTTCTCTCTCTCACTTTCTCACTTATATATATATATATATATATATATATATATATAAGCGTTTGGTGTTTGTGTGTGGAGGTATATTGGCGCACCTTATATATATATATATATATATATATAATTGTATGTGTGCGTGTATTTGCTTTCTCGACATAGAATTCGTCAGTATCATTTACATATATATACATGGGAGAATGTAATATATACATTTCTATATGTAAGAAAAATGTTAGAAAAATGAATGAAAAAAGAAAAAAAAAAAACGGGTGACGTGGCTCATCAGGTTTAGTCCTTTAGGGAACGAAAGGCGTCACACAATATTTTTTCCATTTTCTCATTTATTCATTCATTCATTCATATATATATATATATATATATATATATATATATATATATATATATATGTGTGTGTGTGTGTGTGTGTGTGTGTGTGTGTGTGTGTGTGTGTGTGTGTATGTATATATATATATATATATATATATATATATATATATATATATATATATTGACCTAAAAGGTTGAAACCAAAGGTAGCGGAATCGGTTTATTTCCTAATTTTTCTATACTTATAAGTTCAACATGTTAAATTTTTTACGATTTTTTATGCGTATTGAGCACATTTTAATACTCGTGTTTCCTGATTTAATTCAACTCTAACTATTATTTTTTTATTATTTCATTTTATATATATATATATATATATATATATATATATAAAAAAAAATTATAAAAAAAACTTTCTGCTCAGAGTTGAATTAGATCACGAAACAGTAATATTAAAAGTACTTAATACACATATATAAAAGATAAATATTTCGCATGTAGAGGTCTTAAGTATAGAAAAGATCAACCGATTACTCTTTATATAGAAACCGTTAGAATTTTCAATTTGTCTCTGGCGTGCGCTGATAAGCAAGGATAGGTTCTCTGACTGATGCCAAATCGGTAGGGTTTCGATTCTGGCTTAAAAAAGCAACCGGATGTCTAGCCACACTGATGAACTGTCATACAGCGAAACCATATATATATATATATATATATATATATATATATATATATATATATATATATATATATACGTAATATATGCTAATACCCTTATACCAAGGTATGAATCCTCTTCCTCTCCCTCCAGCTATGGGTAAAATAGCAGGAGAGACTGGGTTCTATAGCCTTCGATGGCAATTGGTCTAGGAGAAGGACAATTCTGAATTCCATTCGCTGCACCAGGTCTCTGTATTCGTCCGTTCAAAAAGTGTGGATGGTCCTGCACGAGGCCTTCACCACTATAATTAAATCTCATGTGCCGGTGTCGGGCTGTCGGTTTCCTGAAAACTGATCTGCTTGACCCTCATACGTCGAATCTCGACGGGAGAGTCGATTATATAATATATATATATATATATATATATATATATATATATATATATATAGAGAGAGAGAGAGAGAGAGAGAGAGAAATAAATATTTATTGCACATAAAGAATTTGTCTTCATAAAACTGCTCGATGTAATACAGCAGATTTTATCAAGTATATATTAATAAATATACATATTATCCCTCACCGGTGATGGATAATATGTGTTTTGGATATATAAATTTTATTTAGATTCTTTATCTTTTTTGTTTATCCATCACTTTTGTTATATATCCCATATTGTAATGATTGCCAAAAACAATACTTTGGAGAAACTTAAACAAGTTTAAAGATTATATGAACACAAAAGGGATATTTTTTTTAAATAAAACATCTAACACATTAGTTGCTCACCATAAAGAAACAAACCACAATTTTGAAATAAAAATGCTTCTTTAACTTCGCGATCTGGTTATGTCGTCATATTAATTCACTTTGCTCACCTTTATGCTGATCAACACTTTTTTATAGTTCAAAATTCTGTGCACCTCTTCATTAGTGGCGCAGTCGGGTGCAGGAAATCTCAAGCAGCAGTGTCTCTGCAGCATGGATCCAAAAGCTGATATATATATATATATATATATATATATATATATATGTGTGTGTGTGTGTGTGTGTGTGTGTGTGTGTGTGTGTATATAATGGACTCTCCCGTCGGTTTCGACGTATGAGGATCTGACAGCTTATTGATTCAGTTATGAAAGTTTGTGCGATAATCTTAAGTGGCATTTAAGACCAGCTAGTGATTGACAAAGGAGGCCACATATGGAGCAAGAGTGAGGATTGGGAGATGAGATCACTGTTAGATTGGCTGACCTTTTAGATCTTGCCCTCGCTTCTTGAAGATGATTCAGACAAGCAGATTGAAAATTGCCGAGTCCACTAAAACACGTTGATCTCCATTCTACCCGCTCCAAGGTTAAGCGCTCAAGGGTGTTATGTGGAATATTAACTTCTGACAAGTTGCTTTTCAGCTTGTCTTTTTATCTTAGCCATGGGCGTCCTACATTCCTGATCTAACTGGCTGTACATTAGGATCTTGGGTATCCTGTCATCAGACATTCTCAAGACATGACCAGTCCACCGTATATGTGTGTGTGTGTGGTAGCTGGCCGCTTGTATCCGAGTATGCCAATCCCTGTTGCAGACGTTTTCTCAGGCACATCTGCGTTTGTTTAACACAGACAGACCAAACCTGCGGTTTATATGCGGACTTTATTCACAGTTTCTAGGAGAGATCGCATTATCTCACGTGATAAGCACTCTGAATATTTCCAGTATGCACAAACCCTCAGTCACGATGGCTTTTGAATTCGTGCACACACACACACACACACACACACACACACACACACACACACACACGCACACACACACACAACACACACACACAGATCGATTTAACTATAATTATTAGATTATTATAGATTGAGATAAGATACCCATTGTTACTAATTTGCGGTGCGGCGGAAGAGGATTGCAGGTGAGGCGGAAGGGGATTGCAGGTGAGGCGGAATAGTATAGCAGGTGCAGCTAAAGCGGTTAGCAGGTTCGGCGAAAGAGGGTGGCCGGTGCGACGAAAGAAGATAGCAGGTGCGGTGAATGAGGATATCAGGCGAGGCGGAAGAAGATAGCAGTTGAGGCGAAAGAGGATGGCAGGTGAGGCGGGAAAGCATAGCAAGTGAGGCTGAAGAGAATGGCAGGTGTGGTGAAAAGAGGATAGCAGGTGAGGCGGAAGAGGATAGAAGGTGCGGCGAAAGGGGATAGCCGGTGTGGCGGTATGATTGAAAAACAATCAAATATTTAGAAACAGTTTAAAAATTATCATATCTAAGATAAATATGATTTTAAAATTTAAAATATTATTATGGATTACTTGTAATTGCATGCATAAGATCCAGTAGAAATAGTTATAAATAATTATTGACCGAATTTATAATTGAAATATTTTTACATTATATCAAGTATTAAGAATATAGTACCTAGGGTCCACAAATTGTAGGAAAGAGTTATCAATGATAATATTCTGACTTCAAATCCACGGTTATCTCCCTTTAAACCTCTGTCTTTTTTTTTAAGTTCTTTTTATCACATAAAATTTGGTGGGGCGCGAGGAAAATTTCATTCTGAAAATACAGCCTAAAAAAGTTTGGGAACTACTGTTCAGATGTGTAGATTTGGCGCAGTACAATCTTTCTGCTGCAGATTTGCATACTTGTAAATTAATAATACCAAAAATAAATATAATTTAAAAATTCTAAATATTATTATGGATGACTTGTAATTGTATGCATTGAGTTCCCAGTATAAATAGTTATAAATAATTATTGACCAATTTTATCATTGTGATATTTTTACATTATATCAAGTATTAAGAATATAGTAACTAGGATCCGCAAATTGGAGGAGAGAGTTATCAATGATAATGTTCTGACTTCAAATCCACGGTTATCTCCCTTTAAACCTGTTAAACTGTTTTTTTTTTTTAAATTTTAAAAGTACTTTTTATCACATAAAATTTGGTGGGGCGCGCGGAAAATTTAATTCTGAAAATACGGCCTAAAAAAATTTGGGAACTACTGTTCAGCTGTGTAGGTTTGACGCAGTACGATCTTTCTGTTGCAGATTTGTAAATTTTTAAAGTTTAGGTCGTATAAGTACCTATAAATTGATCATCCTGTGTTTATTTTCAAAATGTACTGTGCTTTTATGCACAGCGCATAACTTGTTATATAACAATGAGATTTACTGTAGGCTTGTTGCTTCCGGCATCTCTTTCTGCAGTTAAACATTCATATGTCTAACTGCACACTTGGAAAGAGAGAATGGGAACACATCATTAAAAAGTTGCAAATGTTAGTAAACTTTGAACGCGTAATCAATAAACCTCATCAGACTCCGACCCACCCATTTCACTATCGTCATTTGCACAGACTCCCCCTCCATCGACTGGTATTCCGCATATCTCACCTGATATCCCACATCACTTTCTACCCCTTCTACATTCTCCATCACCATGGCAATCGACAGGCCAACATCTAGTGTCCAGCACTCATCTTTTTTTTCTTTTTTTAAAGCAATTGTCATAGCTTTTGTAAAGAGAGAAGAAGCATTTGTGGGTGAAAGGCAAATTCAAGATCGCTTAATAAGGCATATAAGTATTAATATAGAGTTAATGTACGAAAACCATCAGCACCCCGAACCCCACCAGTCCACCGCCTGTAATATATGTATTTAATTGATCCGAAGATTTTATTAAAACAATTAGAGAACCTTTAGCAAAAATTAAAACATGTATATAAAAGATTATGAGCAGATGGTCGGTTATTGAGGATATGGTGGTGGGGGGTTTAGTTTAAAGCGGTGACGTTGGTTTGGTGGTCGAGGAGGGCGTAAAGCGGTTCGGGGGAAAATTAAACAAAGGACTGAGCTGAAATGAAAAAGACAAAAAGAAAAACCATTAATGGATGACACAGAACATAAATAAACAAAATGATAAATGTCAGTAAACATGATTTTTCAACGCATCATAACATATATATATATATATATATATATATATATATATATATATATATATATATATATATATATATATATATATATATATATACAATTATACATGGACAAATATATGCGTATATATATATATATATATATATATATATATATATATATGCACACATATTTACGTATTTGTCCATGTATAATTGTATTTGACATCTATACATATGTTGCTATATATATATATTCAGATATAAACATAGACACGCATGTGTATGAATTTTATATATATATATATATATATATATATATTTATCCTAACACATTTGCATATATTTATGTAAATAAGTATTAAAATTAAAAAGGCAAAACGAACCAAAACTTATTAATATAAGCAAATGTAGAGTGTGGCTAAATGGGAAAAAAATAAACCACATCGTTTGGATTTATAATTATATATGTTTCATAATCTTAATTTGAAAATTTGCATGCCTTCACACACACACACACACACACACACACACACTCATATATATATATATATATATATATATATATATACACACACACACATAATGAAAGAGAGAGGGCTATGGATACATTTTGATGGGTAGGTGGATGAGTATACTCTTGCACATTAATTACAATTATTGGCTGGAAATATATATTTGTATACGTATATATATATATATATATATATATATATATATATATATATATATATATATATATATATATATATCTTATTGATTGCATTTCACATATATCTGTAATCATATTCTAAATGCATTAACAATCATATATTAGACATAGGCGAAAAATTATGCATTTTAAACTTTCCTGCATTAATGATTATATTTCATTCTCATACATTACTAATTACATCATCCACAAAAATACAAAAATGCTATAATTACAATATTATTTACGGTTTATACAACGGCTAATTATGTGCTTATATTTACGAACTTTTACTATTTTATAAACATTTATAAACTTTTGGTCTGGAACATTCCATCTCATTACCCCAACCTACATAAATGTCTTGACTTCGATTTCGTTTTGATAGGCTTACACCGTAATAGGTAATCGTAGAGGGCGTAGCTGTTGGTTGTATCTGACATGGCGAACATTGAAAACGAGGCTCTTAGAGTTTACAAGCAGACATTACTGACCACATTGAACTGATAGGCACACACACACACACACACACACACACACACACACACACACACACACACACACACACATATATATATAATATTAGATGATTCGTGTTTCATATGGTTTGTTATATGATTTCTAGAGTATCTCCTTAATATATCTCATTTAGATTAATTAAAATATTTAATTGCAAAAAATACGCTGCACAATCTGACATGCACAGAATATTATGCATATATTCGTTTCATACATACGTATATATATATATATATATATATATATATATATATATATATATATATATATATATATATATATATATATTGTTTACCGTTATATGTCGAATATTTGAAGTTACGCAGAATTGTATGCTGATATATGGAATGAGAATAATATCTTGTTATGTCCAAGAATTCATTTTACAGAAAACCATTTTGGGATTGCTTTTGGCGAATAACGGACATTGTTGAATAAAGAGGCAACTGTATTCTAACTTGAAGCATTAGTCAAGAGTTTTTTCCTTTTTTTACTTGTACGTTGTCATGTTTCTGTTTTTCTCACATCTCTGGCATTAAAAGCTCACAAAATGACCGTTTTAGATTTTGAATAAAACCAATGAATAATATAATAGATATATCTATCAAACACACATGGCCTGAAGATTGCGTTCAACATTCAGTACTGATCTCAGCGGCCACTTTTACATTTACATACGCTCTATTGCTAATATTGAGCATTTTCACCCCTAAATATAGCTCAACTTAAATATATATATATATATATATATATATATATATATATATATATATATATATATATATAGTGTGTGGACTCTCCCGTCGTATTGGACGTATGATGGTCAAGCGGCTCAATTCCTAGGAACCGATAGCCCAGACACTAGCACATATGATTTGATTATAGTGGTAAGTCTTTGTGCAGGACAAACTACACTTTTTGAAGGGCCAAATACAGAGACCTGGTGCACTATGTGCCACAATCGACCCTCCGCAGGTTTTGAATTCAGAGTCCTTCTTCTAACTGACTAGTTGCAATCCAAGGCTATAGAACCCAGCCTGTTCAGATATTTACCAATAGCTGGAGGGAGAAGAAGAGGATTAATACCTATCCCAACGGTATTAGCACATAAGTGAATGTAATATATTCGACTGGAATTCGAACTCGGTTCTCCGATTCCTCAATGCAAGTCGCTACCCACTACTTCATCGTTATTCCTTATATATATATATATATATATATATATATATATATATATATATATATATATATATATATATATATATATATATATATATATATATATATATATATCATTAAATAACTGAGAAAAGTTTTGTCTACTTATTTTTAATATGATCCTCTCATAATTACGGACAAGCTTCTTAGTATCCTTATTAAAGGAAGAAAGGAAGTTACCATTCATTTATTCCGAATACTTTCGACATTAGTAAAATGTCATCTTCGGGGTCTTGTCTTATCTAAAACAAATTTGTTCTGTCTATCAGAAAATTATTATTTTTTATTTGTGAAGTGAAAAACGCTAAACTTATGTACTGTACGGTATTTAATTTTATAATTATAGCATACTCGTGTAGCAATGTCAAGGGAGGTAATTAAATTATTAAGATATCTATTTCTAAAAAAAACATTTAAAACTATTAGTCAAAACCTATATATTTTTCAACTATCTACTGTAAACATTTTAAAACATTTCTCCAATATACATAATTAATTTTCTTAAGGAGCGGGTTTCAATTTTTTATATAAATAGCCTCAAAAATTTTTAGTCTATATTTATTATTTTCATGAAAAAGTATAGATGCATTTTCAACAAGAATTTTTCTAAATTATGAATGTGTGTGCTGGTGGCAATAAAACCGTGTTGATCGTTGTAAAACAGACTACTAATATATTTTAGTAACTGGTTGAACAAGTGCTGACTGAGTTTTCAAATTTGTCTGTAGAAACTTTTTCTCCTGATGATGGCCATGCTGGCCGAAACTAGTCGAGGAATTTAATTAAAATAATAAAACAAAAATATATTAACATGCAACCTAGATTGTTTGAAAATATTAATTTTTTAATTTCTGCATATTTTCTATTGTTCACACACACACACAATTATATATATATATATATATATATATATATATATAGTATATGATAAAATTTAGTTTTAATGTACGCAATATGTATGGGCTAAAGTGCTTAATATCAGTGGACATGGAAGTCAACAGCCAGCAACGACAGACTTTCGTATCATATATATATATATATATATATATATATATATATGATATATATAAAAGTGAACATAGAAGTCAACGCTTTGCTTGATGCAATCCTCAGGGCACTCGTGGCCCGAGGATTGCATCAAGCACGAAGCAGACTGTCGCCTCTAAGTGTTGACTTTTATGTACACTTTTATATTTACACACGCTCTATCTCTGATATTGAGCACTTTATCCCATTAATATAGCACACCTTAAGATTATATTTCTACACACACATATATATATATTATAAATTAACTGATTTAAAATATGTTTTTTCGCTACACAGTTCTAACCATGTTTCAAAAATGGAAGCTAAAAACTTCGAATTTAATTTTATCATTAAATTAAAGACATGAGTTCCATTTCATTCTCAAGCGAATTTTGGAGTAACTTATTTTTAAATTTACTGGGTTTTAAAGGCACGGCAAAAATCATAATTTACAGTTTCCAAGGATACAGAGAAATCCATTCATCCAGACAAAGGGTGGTGGCGTGTTCATTTTATTAACTTTTAATTTATAATATTAATGCTCTATAAATTTACATTGAACACTACTTTTTAAAAATAAAAATATCTATAAGAACACCGGATTATATCTTACTGTTCTTTCTTTATATATATATATATATATATATATATATATATATATATATATATATATATATATATATATATATATATATATATATATATATATATAAAAAGACAACAAGTTTCGTCCTCTAATAGGCATTATCAAGGCAAGTGTACTTTGATAAAGATTATTAAAGGTCGCACGGTGGCACGGATTGAGAAATCAGAGAGCCGAGTTCGTATTCCAGTCGAATCCAGTTACATTCACTTACGTGCTAATATCGTTGGGAAAGGTATGAATCCTCTTCTTCTCCCTCTCGCTATGGGTAAATAGCAGGACAGACCGGGTTTGAATAGCAACTGGTCTACCGCAGAAAGAAATGGCAACCTACTGCGGGAAAAAATCTGTATGGCACATAATTGAAAGGACGAAACGTGTAGGCTAAAAAGGTTTTCTTTTATTCGTATATATCATAAATTTTGCACTTATATCAATATATATTATGAAACGGACAAAGTCCGACAATTACCTTTCATGTTTATACGTTCTTTTTATAGATACAAATGTTTAAGTAAAGGATACAGGTTCGATTCCTGTCGGAGGACGCATATTTTCTATGAAAATTTCTCGGACATGCAGGCTGGTAAATGTCATCAACACTGTTTATTATAAACAGAGCATTTACTTAAATATTTGTATCTACAAAAAAACGTATAAACATAAAACATGTCTTAATATGTATATATATATCTTTCTTTCTCTCTCTCTCTCTCTCTCTCTCTCTCTATATATATATATATATATATATGACCTATCTATCTCAGTTTATTCATCTCTCTATCTATCTCAGTTTATTCATATCTATCTATCTATCTATCTATCTATCTCAGTCTATTCATATCTATCTATCTCAGTTTATTCATATCTATCTTAGTCTATTCATATCTATCTATCTATCTATCTATCTATCTATCTATCTATGTGTGTGTGTGTGTGTGTTTGGGCGGTTGTATGTGTGTAAAAAAATCAGATTTAATTACATTATATCCGTGAAAGGTTATTATGAATCAAGATAAAAGGAAAAGTTATCTTAGCCGACGTGTTTCGTCCTCTGATGAACCTTACCAAAGCAAATGTGAGGATATATTTTATCAATAAGTATTTATAAAGAAAAGTAAAAAGGAAAACTCGAGGGAAATTATGGAAGATGCTAAATGATGTAATTTAATGTCTAATCAACGAACGTAAGTTTTTTTATGCAGTTAATATTGAAATTATTTTAGTAGGGGATGAAAACATTATAGACAAATAGTGAAACTCGAAACGAAAATGAACAGTACATTTTTGTAGAAAAATTTCTAACAGTACATTTTATAATCTACAAACTATTTCTAAAAAATATACCTTTACTTTGAGAGTATAAAACTCTTTACAAAGTATCTGTTGTTGAAAGCATAAAATTACGTACAAAATATTTCGATTTCGGCATTAAATGACCCATAGAGATGTTGATATGCCACTAAACATATCAACCAACCAAGCAACATGATATAATTCTTTCATGACATTAGTCTATATAATATCCCACAATTCCTTAAAGAAATCAAACTGTATCCTAAAATATAACTTCGACAAAACAATGACATGAAACATATATCACTGTTTCTAGTAATTATTCACACAAAAACATGTTCATACACAAAAGCTGAGTATCATCTACCATGTATGCAATTGTGAAAGCAGAATAACATTATACATATTTTTAGAAAATTAAAATTTAGCATTAAATGACCCATGAGGATTTCATATGCCATTAAAGAAATATAAACAATCAATCTTTTGAAATCATGTACTATGGTTTTCATTAAACTAGATATTTTTGCAAGACCCTGATGCGTATAGAAATCCTCACAGCATTTAGTATTAAATTGTTTTTAAAATAGTGTGAGTAACGCTCGCCTACCGGTGGTAAGCGGCCATGCTGAAAGGCTGTTCTAAGTCCGAGAACAGCGAGGAGATTCTATACGCGCATGCCGGTGGTCCTCGTGCGCGCAGGCCGTCCTAGGCCCGTGCCGGTCGTCTACGCGGCCGACGGTCGCCTACCGGTGGTAAGCGGTCATGCTGAAAGGCTGCTCTAAGTCCGAGAACAGCGAGGAGACTCTATACGCGCATCCTGGTGGTCCTCGTGTGCACAGGTCGTCCTAGGCCCGTGCCGGTCGTCTACGCGCCCGACGGTCGCCTACCAGTGGTAAGCGGTCGTCGTTGATGTTCTTCGTCAGGACGACTCTCTTGGCGCAATTCAACTCTCCTCGTGCTCGGAGGCTGTCTTCTGCGTGTGCAGACAGTGAAGAAGAAAAAAAATCAAAGTTTGTAAGACGAAGAGTATTCACAGCTTAAATAATAAAATTTTTAATATTAAAAAAAGAAAAGAAAAAGAAAATGTATTGCATTAATCTACGCAGCCTAGTAACAAAAATTATACCTTATAGACTCTTACTTGTTTGCACTTCTCGCCAAAATTTAGTTTCGATCGGTCAATGTATGCCAACATTAGAGGGTATGACGGACGAACTAACAGAAATCACATATCTGTCTATATTTCTGAGATGAGGTATTACGTACACTACATTATTCGGACTATTGTCCTCATCTTTGTCGCCATATTTATTACAACGCTTCGGCCTTTCAGTATCTGTCTATATTTCTGAGATGAGGTATTACGTACACTACATTATTCGGACTATTGTCCTCATCTTTGTCGCCATATTTATTACAACGCTTCGGCCTTTCAGTATCTGTCTATATTTCTGAGATGAGGTATTACGTACACTATTTACATTATTCGGACTATTCCTCATCTTTGTCTATTGTCCTCATCTTTGTCGCCATATTTATTACAACATTATTCGGACTATTGTCCTCATCTTTCGCCATATTTATTACAACGGCCTTTCAGTATCTGTCTATATTTCTGAGATGAGGTATTACGTACACTATTTACATTATTCGGACTATTGTCCTCATCTTTGTCGCCATATTTATTACAACGCTTCGGCCTTTCAGTATCTGTCTATATTTCTGAGATGAGGTATTACGTACACTATTTACATTATTCGGACTATTGTCCTCATCTTTGTCGCCATATTTATTACAACGCTTCGGCCTTTCAGTATCTGTCTATATTTCTGAGATGAGGTATTACGTACACTATTTACATTATTCGGACTATTGTCCTCATCTTTGTCGCCATATTTATTACAACGCTTCGGCCTTTCAGTATCTGTCTATATTTCTGAGATGAGGTATTACGTACACTATTTACATTATTCGGACTATTGTCCTCATCTTTGTCGCCATATTTATTACAACGCTTCGGCCTTTCAGTATCTGTCTATATTTCTGAGATGAGGTATTACGTACACTATTTACATTATTCGGACTATTGTCCTCATCTTTGTCGCCATATTTATTACAACGCTTCGGCCTTTCAGTATCTGTCTATATTTCTGAGATGAGGTATTACGTACACTATTTACATTATTCGGACTATTGTCCTCATCTTTGTCGCCATATTTATTACAACGCTTCGGCCTTTCAGTATCTCTGTCTATATTTCTGAGATGAGGTATTACGTACACTATTTACATTATTCATTACTATTGTCCTCATCTTTGTCGCCATATTTATTACAACGCTTCGGCCTTTCAGTATCTGTCTATATTTCTGAGATGAGGTATTACGTACACTATTTACATTATTCGGACTATTGTCCTCATCTTTGTCGCCATATTTATTACAACGCTTCGGCCTTTCAGTATCTGTCTATATTTCTGAGATGAGGTATTACGTACACTATTTACATTATTCGGACTATTGTCCTCATCTTTGTCGCCATATTTATTACAACGCTTCGGCCTTTCAGTATCTGTCTATATTTCTGAGATGAGGTATTACGTACACTATTTACATTATTCGGACTATTGTCCTCATCTTTGTCGCCATATTTATTACAACGCTTCGGCCTTTCAGTATCTGTCTATATTTCTGAGATGAGGTATTACGTACACTATTTACATTATTCGGACTATTGTCCTCATCTTTGTCGCCATATTTATTACAACGCTTCGGCCTTTCAGTATCTGTCTATATTTCTGAGATGAGGTATTACGTACACTATTTACATTATTCGGACTATTGTCCTCATCTTTGTCGCCATATTTATTACAACGCTTCGGCCTTTCAGTATCTGTCTATATTTCTGAGATGAGGTATTACGTACACTATTTACATTATTCGGACTATTGTCCTCATCTTTGTCGCCATATTTATTACAACGCTTCGGCCTTTCAGTATCTGTCTATATTTCTGAGATGAGGTATTACGTACACTATTTACATTATTCGGACTATTGTCCTCATCTTTGTCGCCATATTTATTACAACGCTTCGGCCTTTCAGTATCTGTCTATATTTCTGAGATGAGGTATTACGTACACTATTTACATTATTCGGACTATTGTCCTCATCTTTGTCGCCATATTTATTACAACGCTTCGGCCTTTCAGTATCTGTCTATATTTCTGAGATGAGGTATTACGTACACTATTTACATTATTCGGACTATTGTCCTCATCTTTGTCGCCATATTTATTACAACGCTTCGGCCTTTCAGTATCTGTCTATATTTCTGAGATGAGGTATTACGTACACAATTTACATTATTCGGACTATTGTCCTCATCTTTGTCGCCATATTTATTACAACGCTTCGGCCTTTCAGTATCTGTCTATATTTCTGAGATGAGGTATTACGTACACTATTTACATTATTCGGACTATTGTCCTCATCTTTGTCGCCATATTTATTACAACGCTTCGGCCTTTCAGTATCTGTCTATATTTCTGAGATGAGGTATTACGTACACTATTTACATTATTCGGACTATTGTCCTCATCTTTGTCGCCATATTTATTACAACGCTTCGGCCTTTCAGTATCTGTCTATATTTCTGAGATGAGGTATTACGTACACTATTTACATTATTCGGACTATTGTCCTCATCTTTGTCGCCATATTTATTACAACGCTTCGGCCTTTCAGTATCTGTCTATATTTCTGAGATGAGGTATTACGTACACTATTTACATTATTCGGACTATTGTCCTCATCTTTGTCGCCATATTTATTACAACGCTTCGGCCTTTCAGTATCTGTCTATATTTCTGAGATGAGGTATTACGTACACTATTTACATTATTCGGACTATTGTCCTCATCTTTGTCGCCATATTTATTACAACGCTTCGGCCTTTCAGTATCTGTCTATATTTCTGAGATGAGGTATTACGTACACTATTTACATTATTCGGACTATTGTCCTCATCTTTGTCGCCATATTTATTACAACGCTTCGGCCTTTCAGTATCTGTCTATATTTCTGAGATGAGGTATTACGTACACTATTTACATTATTCGGACTATTGTCCTCATCTTTGTCGCCATATTTATTACAACGCTTCGGCCTTTCAGTATCTGTCTATATTTCTGAGATGAGGTATTACGTACACTATTTACATTATTCGGACTATTGTCCTCATCTTTGTCGCCATATTTATTACAACGCTTCGGCCTTTCAGTATCTGTCTATATTTCTGAGATGAGGTATTGCGTACACTATTTACATTATTCGGACTATTGTCCTCATCTTTGTCGCCATATTTATTACAACGCTTCGGCCTTTCAGTATCTGTCTATATTTCTGAGATGAGGTATTACGTACACTATTTACATTATTCGGACTATTGTCCTCATCTTTGTCGCCATATTTATTACAACGCTTCGGCCTTTCAGTATCTGTCTATATTTCTGAGATGAGGTATTACGTACACTATTTACATTATTCGGACTATTGTCCTCATCTTTGTCGCCATATTTATTACAACGCTTCGGCCTTTCAGTATCTGTCTATATTTCTGAGATGAGGTATTACGTACACTATTTACATTATTCGGACTATTGTCCTCATCTTTTCGCCATATTTATTACAACGCTTCGGCCTTTCAGTATCTGTCTATATTTCTGAGATGAGGTATTACGTACACTATTTACATTATTCGGACTATTGTCCTCATCTTTGTCGCCATATTTATTACAACGTTTCGGCCTTTCAGTATCTGTCTATATTTCTGAGATGAGGCATTATGTACACTATTTACATTATTCGGACTATTGTTCTCATCTTTGTCGCCATATTTATTACAACGCTTCGGCCTTTCAGTATCTGTCTATATTTCTGAGATGAGGTATTACGTACACTACATTATTCGGACTATTGTCCTCATCTTTGTCGCCATATTTATTACAACGCTTCGGCCTTTCAGTATCTGTCTATATTTCTGAGATGAGGTATTACGTACACTATTTACATTATTCGGACTATTGTCCTCATCTTTGTCGCCATATTTATTACAACGCTTCGGCCTTTCAGTATCTGTCTATATTTCTGAGATGAGGTATTACGTACACTATTTACATTATTCGGACTATTGTCCTCATCTTTGTCGCCATATTTATTACAACGCTTCGGCCTTTCAGTATCTGTCTATATTTCTGAGATGAGGTATTACGTACACTATTTACATTATTCGGACTATTGTCCTCATCTTTGTCGCCATATTTATTACAACGCTTCGGCCTTTCAGTATCTGTCTATATTTCTGAGATGAGGTATTACGTACACTATTTACATTATTCGGACTATTGTCCTCATCTTTGTCGCCATATTTATTACAACGTTTCGGCCTTTCAGTATCTGTCTATATTTCTGAGATGAGGCATTATGTACACTATTTACATTATTCGGACTATTGTTCTCATCTTTGTCGCCATATTTATTACAAAGATTCGGCCTTTCAGTATCTGTCTATATTTCTGAGATGAGGTATTACGTACACTATTTACATTATTCGGACTATTGTCCTCATCTTTTGTCGCCATATTTATTACAACGCTTCGGCCTTTCAGTATCTGTCTATATTTCTGAGATGAGGTATTACGTACACTATTTACATTATTCGGACTATTGTCCTCATCTTTGTCGCCATATTTATTACAACGTTTCGGCCTTTCAGTATCTGTCTATATTTCTGAGATGAGGCATTATGTACACTATTTACATTATTCGGACTATTGTTCTCATCTTTGTCGCCATATTTATTACAAAGATTCGGCCTTTCAGTATCTGTCTATATTTCTGAGATGAGGTATTACGTACACTATTTACATTATTCGGACTATTGTCCTCATCTTTGTCGCCATATTTATTACAACGCTTCGGCCTTTCAGTATCTGTCTATATTTCTGAGATGAGGTATTACGTACACTATTTACATTATTCGGACTATTGTCCTCATCTTTGTCGCCATATTTATTACAACGTTTCGGCCTTTCAGTATCTGTCTATATTTCTGAGAGTAGGTATTATGTACACTATTTACATTATTCGGACTATTGTCTTCATCTTTTTCGCTATATTTATTACAACGTTTCAGCCGTTGTACCCTCTGGCCTTCTTCAGGTGGTTGAAGATTTTATTTTGCTTATTGGGGTAGAATGTTCTAGTTCCACGTGCCATGTTTAATGGCTGTCACTTATCAGCTATCTCTTGTTAATTCCCCTCTCCAAGTTCTCCACTGCCTTAACCGGGTATTGAACTCACACGCTTTGGGTCCTGTCACTGGATCTAACCAACGCCTTTATCCACTGTGCCATGTGTCCTTGAGGAGATCCATTTTCTTTTCTTCTTCTGTTTTTTAACAATCCAGTAATGGTAATTTAAAGTGAAGAAGATCGTTGATTCGTTCAATAATCTCAACCTCAATCGAATCTATTGGGAAAAAATATTTCTATTTTTCATAGGGTTCGTAATTTATTCATTTTTTTTTTTTTTACAAATAACTGCTACTTTTGTGCAATGTGTGTGAGCAACTGACTTGTTTCAATGACGCATTAGAATTAAAAAAAAAAGAAGAAACAAACATTTTTTATGAATAACGAAATTGCTAAATTCTTTTGTAGCACTTGGCCGCATATTGGAACTGGGTGTTTAGTCTTTCCACGGGTATTCTAAAGAATCTTCTGATGTAAACGGAAATCGTTCTTTTATGGTGCAATGAACAATTTAGCTAAATAGTGATTCTACGAATTTGCCTGAATAAAAGATTTTGTCCAAAAATGTCGGGAAACATTTGTTCCTACCTGTTATAGCAATATGACACTGAAAAAAAAAAAAAAAAAAAACTCAATCACAATTTCTCCTGGATGAAATGAAATATTAATGATTTACAAATATTTTAAAACAGCACACACAGACACACACACACACACATACACACACACACACACACACACATATATATATATATATATATATATATATATGCTTTTCAACTCTCTAATTAAGAGGAATTTAAATTTCTTGCAAAAGTGTTTGCTCTTTAATTACGAAAATGGCAATGATAGAAGATTTTCTCGATGAGTCTATATCAAAGAAAATGCTTAATTCTGCTCGATTCTCCTGAGAGGAAAACATTTGTAACCTGCCGCGCGCATATGCAATTTCCCGCTCTTTAACCTTGAGATGATTGTTTGTTTTCTCCGAAGAAGATTAAACCATTATTACAAATCACAATTTATCTACAGGACAAGTCGTCGGCTTTTAATATGTCCATTATATGAGTTAGATTTTCTTTTTGCATGAAATCATTACTGTTCGTGCCTGTTGTATGTTGAAAGAATTTGAATGATATTGGCCGTATACATTAGGTGTTGCCTGACCACACCTACTGTTAATTGCCATGGGGGACAAACAGAGAGAGTGGGGAAGCTAATAGCCAAGAATATTATTGTTATTTCTGTAAAGACAAAGTGCTATTTAAAAAGTGGGGGTTTCTTCTTTTTCTCTATTTCTGTTTTTCATTTGCTGTTTAATTACACTCTCTCCTTTTTTTTCTCTCTCTCCATATCTATCTATCTATCTATCTATCTATCTATCTATCTATCTATCTATCTATCTATCTATCTCATTTTGTTCATATCTATCTCATTATGTTAATATGTATTTATCTCATTCAGTTCATATCTATCTATCTATCTATCTATCTATCTATCTGTCTGTCTATCTATTTGTATCTTTCAGCAGTTTCTAAAATCTTTTCCTTTTTCTGAATGTTTTACATTATTTCATATGTAGTTTCTTGAATCGTTCTTTTTTTGTTCTTTTTCTTCCTTCTGTCATTTTTTCCATTTAATTTTCTTTCTTTCTTCCTTCCTTTCTTTCTTCCTTTCTTTCTTTCTTTCTTTCTTTCTTTCTTTCTTTCTTTCTTTCTTTCTTTCTTCCCATTTCTCTTGTCTGTTCTTTTCTCATTTCCTCACTTATCTCTCTTTCTCCTCTCACTTTCTTTGATACATTGTTCCTTCCTTTCTCTCTTCCTGTCACAACCATTCTTCCTTCTCTTGTCTCTCTTTCTCTTCTACCCATCGCCTCTTCCCTTCTCTCCTCCATCTCTTTCTCTCTCTTTTTCTTTCCTCTCTCTTCACCACTTCTCTTATTTCTCCTTTTTTTCGTTTTCCCTAATCTTTCTTTCACTCACTTCTTTACTGCTGCATTCTCCTGCCTTTTTATACGTTATTCCCCCCCCCACCGCCTCTCTCATTTTTTCTCCCTTATTTTCTTACTTCACACTTCTTCGTTTTTGATTTCTTTCTTGGTTCCTTCCCTCTGTTTCTATCTATTCTTTCTCTCTCTTTTCCTTTCTTTCTCATCTATTCTTCCTTTTTTTTTAAATTTGTTTTGCGCTTTTTTTCTGTTAATTCTCTTTCTCTGTCTGGGATGTGCGGGTGGTATGCGGTTCGATATGAGAAATCGAGGAGCAGTGTTCGAATTCTCGTCGGGTCCGTTACATTTACTTAAACAGTGGGGCATTGTTATTCTAAAAACAAACAAACAAGTTAATGCAATATTCACTAATAAAAAACGAAGAATTCTTACAATCCAAAACATCCTTAGGCTTAAATAATCCACAAAGTGTTGATAAACCGTCAAAAATATATCCATCAAATCCTTCTCTCTCGTTTTTTTTATTCTCGTCAGTTGTTTATTTCTTTTTCTTCTTTTTTCTTTCACTCTCATCTTTATTTATTTGTTCGTTTTTTTCTTTTTCTCTCTCTTTTCTCTTTATCCTCCGTTACATTTATTTATTCTCTACTTTTCTTTTCTATTTTATATTGCTTTTTCTCTCTCTTATCCTTTTCTTCTTTTTTCTTCTTTTTCTTTTATCTTCATTTCAGTTACTTCCTTTATTCCTTTCCTCTTCTTTTAATTGTATTTTTAACTCTCATTCTCTCTATTCTTTTCCTTCTCCTATCTTATTTATTTCTTTTACCTTTCTCTTCTTTTTCATTCTCTTCTTTCCATTCTATCGCCTTTCTTTTATTTTTTTACTAGCAGCATGGCTCGGCGTTGCCCATGCTTGATTCAAAAATCGTACGACTCATACATCAATCGCTATCACTTGACTTAAAATATTTTTGCCCTTCCTTGCCTTTAAAGGAGTGCCCTTTGTCGTGCTGATGTTACTACATGCCTTACTTCTTGCCTATCTCACACAATTTTTCTAAGCTCTATACTAAACATTAAATCTGTTACGAAAAAAGAACTAAACAAAATGAACACAAAACTATCAACTTTAAAAAAGGACTCGTAACTGGAAAAACCGAATGAAAAAAAATGTTAACAACAAATACTTTTTCACACCCAACCCAGTTCTGTGGAATCAGAATCAATGTTGAATTTAAGCAAGCGAATGAGCCAATTGGAGTAAAGTGCAATGCAGATTTAAATTTTTCCCACTTGTAACGAATTTTTTTTTGCATGCTAGCATGCTAGTTAACATTCGTGTCAGTCAGCTGTTGGCTCTGACGCTGGCCAATAGAATCTTCCTGCTATAGGCTCTAACTCTGGCCAGTAGAAAATGGCCGCAAACTACATGAAAACTGCCGTAGAAGCATGAAAAAATCGATGGGAGTTGGGAAATGCAAAGTCGGTCTTGGCCTTCCCGCTAACTTGGAGCATGTGCATGTAAATTTTAGTGCAAATCCTTCGAAAATTGCGACCGTGCATTCGTTACACACACACACACACACACACACACACACACACACACACACACACATACACATCCTGCCTTTTATAGGTAGAGATTCCTCTCTTCTTTACTGTCTCCCTCTCCATTTCCTTGATTTATTTGTTCTTTACTTCCTGTCTTCTCTTTTTCTCTCTCCTCCTTTTCTTTTATTTCTTATTTATTTTTACTTTCTCTCTGTTTTGTATATTTTCCTTTTCTCTTCTGTATCCTCTCCTTTTCGTTTCTTTGTTCTTTTTTACCTTTTTTTTCTCTGATCTGTTATATTCTCTCTTACATTATTTTTACTTTCGTCTCTCTTTCTTTAAAATTCACACTTTCGGCTGTATTTTTCATGTCTCCTCTTTCTTTCATGCCTCTTCTTTCTTTCATGTCTCCTATTTCTTTCATGTCTCCTCTTTCTTTCATGTCTCCTCTATCTTTCAGGTCTCCTCTTTCTTTCATGTCTCCTCTATCTTTCAGGTCTCCTCTTTCTTTCATGGGTCCTCTATCTTTCAGGTCTCCTCTATCTTTCATGTCTCCTCTATCTTTCATGGGTCCTCTTTCTTCATGTCTTCTCTTTCTTTCATGTGTCCTTTTTGTTTCATGTCTCCTATTTTTCTCATGTCTCCTCTTTCTTTCATGTCTCCTCTTTCATTTCTCTTTCTTTCATGTCTCCTATTTCTTTCATGTGTCCTTATTTTTATGTCTCCTATTTCTTTCATGTCTCCTATTTCTTTCATGTCTCCTCTATCTTTCATGGGTTCTAATTCTTCATGTCTTCTCTTTCTTTCATGTCTCCTCTATCTTTCATGTCTCCTCTTTCTTTCATGTCTCCTCTTTCTTTCATGTCTCCTCTATCTTTCATCGGCCCTCTTTCTTTCTTTCATGTCTCCTCTTTCTTTCATGTCTCCTCTATCTTTCAGGTCTCCTCTTTCTTTCATGGGTCCTCTATCTTTCATGTCTCCTCTATCTTTCATGTCTCCTCTATCTTTCAGATCTCCTCTTTCTTTCATGGGTCCTCTATCTTTCATGGGTCCTCTTTCTTCATGTCTTCTCTTTCTTTCATGTGTCCTTTTTGTTTCATGTCTCCTATTTTTCTCATGTCTCCTCTTTCTTTCATGTCTCCTCTTTCATTTCTCTTTCTTTCATGTCTCCTATTTCTTTCATGTGTCCTTATTTTTATGTCTCCTATTTCTTTCATGTCTCCTATTTCTTTCATGTCTCCTCTATCTTTCATGGGTTCTAATTCTTCATGTCTTCTCTTTCTTTCATGTCTCCTCTTTCTTTCATGTCTCCTTATTCTTTCATGTCTCCTCTTTCTTTCATGTCTCCTCTATCTTTCATCGGCCCTCTTTCTTTCTTTCATGTCTCCTCTATCTTTCATCGGCCCTCTTTCTTTCTTTCATGTCTCCTCTTTCTTTCATGTCTCCTCTTTCTTTCATGTCTCCTCTATCTTTCATCGGCCCTCTTTCTTTCTTTCATGTCTCCTCTTTCTTTCATGTCTCCTCTTTCTTTAATGTCTCCTCTATCTTTCATCGGCCCTCTTTCTTTCTTTCATGTCTCCTCTTTCTTTCATGTCTCCTCTTTCTTTCATGTCTCCTCTATTTTTTTTATCGGCCCTCTTTCTTTCTTTCATGTCTCCTCTTTCTTTCATGTCACCTCTTTCTTTCATGTCTCCTATTTCTTTCATGTCTCCTCTTTCTTTCATGTCTCCTCTATCTTTCAGGTCTCCTCTTTCTTTCATGGGTCCTCTATCTTTCAGGTCTCCTCTATCTTTCATGTCTCCTCTATCTTTCATGGGTCCTCTTTCTTCATGTCTTCTCTTTCTTTCATGTGTCCTTTTTGTTTCATGTCTCCTATTTTTCTCATGTCTCCTCTTTCTTTCATGTCTCCTCTTTCATTTCTCTTTCTTTCATGTCTCCTATTTCTTTCATGTGTCCTTATTTTTATGTCTCCTATTTCTTTCATGTCTCCTATTTCTTTCATGTCTCCTCTTTCTTTCATGTCTCCTATTTCTTTCATGTCTCCTCTATCTTTCATCGGCCCTCTTTCTTCATGTCTTCTCGTTCTTTCATGCACCCTCTTTCTTTCATGTCTCCTCGTTCCTTCATGTCTCCTCTTTCTTTCTTTCTTTCTTTCTTTCTTTCTTTCTTTCATGTGTCCTCTTTCTTTCATGTCTCCTCTATCTTTCATGGGCCTTCTTTCTTTCTTTCTTTCTTTCTTTCTTTCTTTCTTTCTTTCTTTCTTTCTTTCTTTCTTTTCTTTCTGTGTCCTCTTTCTTTCATGTCTCCTCTATCTTTCATGGGCCTTCTTTCTTTCTTTCTTTCTTTCTTTCTTTCTTTCTTTCTTTCGTCCTCTTTCTTTTATGTATCCTCTTTCTTTCAACCACTGATTCGATTGACAATTTCACTTCGTTTAGAAAGTTTTCGCTGTGCTTTCAACCTTAATGAATTTTTGTAAAACTTTTAACACTAATAAACACCAAGAAATATATTCGTATGATGATCAAGATGTTAGAATCCTGAGTTAGAAGACAGGTGATGGGAAAAGCTTTCTTTTTTTTGTTTAGTTTCTTTTTTTTTATTTCCTGAGAGCGTTTATTTCATTTTCATTTCTTTGTTTAATTTTTCGAATCCCAAAACTAAATAAGGTAACATGTCAAGACACATTTTACTTGATTTGTGGATTAGCGCGTCAAAGCTCATGACACGTTGGTTGAATAATAACGGGACATCAAAAGGATTCTTCGACCAAACCTACCGATGTGCTTCTTCCCTGCCAATTCTTAGCCACACCGCACACTTTTTCAAAACTCTCACCACTATACTTCAATTCTCTTTCCTTTCAGGTTTACCGTTTTTGGAGTTTTGTTTTCCTAGTCTTTTCACCAACATTATTCCGGAATATTCAATTTCTTACCTATTTGTAAGATGTGTCGAAATTTGATTGGATGGTTAAAAAAAAAAATTGTATCTACCAAATTACAGAAAGGTCGAAAATCCTTGGCAAATTAGACGAATCTA